GTGGTGAGTCTGTATATTGGGATGTGATGATACTGTATATGCGGCGTTCCCTGATTTATCCAACACTGAACATTAAAGAGACATTATGTAATTTTACTAAAAAATATATTTAAAATATCCTTTTTTCCCCCTTTATGACTAAATCATTGTTTGATGAGTAGAGTAGTTTGTGCATCTGTAAGCCTGTAGCCTATTCTACTGAATTTTTACTCTGGGTCGAAGTTCCCACGCTGTTCAGCAGATGTGACGTCAAGTGCGTTGATGTTTAATGTGTCAAACCTAGCAAACAATTAGGGTGTTATAATCAAAATATTTTTTTGGATACCATGAAAAGACTAGCATCCAGCTCAACTCAGACACTAATGGCAGCTGCAGGTATGGTGAAAAAATAACAAAAAAAACAACAAAAAACTTGTAAAGTACAGTCGTGAGCTACGAGAACGTCCAATAATACTACCGTTCTGTGTTTTGGCCACAGCTGGCATTATCATTAGAAAACTCAATAATTCCTCTTTAAGACAGAATATATTGTTAAAAAAAAAGAGCTGGACCTCACTCATATTAATGGAGTCCTGTTAAAGAGGATCCTGATTTTCATAAAAATAAACCCTAGCCTGGAAACATAATGATGTTTAAAAAAGAGAACAGTTAAAAAAAAAGTTTACTTAAGGGGAATAAAAAAAATTGCAAGTTGCCAGGGTGTATCCGTCAAATACAGGGCAAGGCCATGGCCATGTCAAACTCTGCAGATTCCTTGCTGTCAAAGCAGAGGGAAACGGGCAAAAAGCCAAGGGTCGTCTTTGTCGTCTCCCTCAACATGGCGAGGCAAGAAAAATTTCCGGTTCTCATGTTTTGAACAGTAGTTTTTAGTGGAAAGTTAAACACTGAGCCTTTTCCCTGAATCACACAAAGAGGCACGGTGGATGGCTGAAAAATGTGTAAACCAATACCTTTAATTTGTTAAAAAAAAAAGGTTTCAACATGACTGTTAAATATTTGAATGAAATATAGTTATAGATGAGCAATTATTAAGTTTTCTTTCCCTCTTTTCCCCATTATTCTCTGTTATCTCAAAATTTCCATTACTTTGACCAAGGTTGAGCTGAGATTGTACGTTTTTGGTCTCTTCCACGGCCGTCTCCTGAGCTCACCCAGTAAACAGCTAGTGTGGAACATCTACTGGTAAAAAGGTAGAAATCAGATACTCGAGTCTAAGTTCAAACTAATGACACTAATGAAACCATAAACACTTCTCAGGCTTTCGTTGCCAATATGAGTCTGCTATCCGTTTTAATGGAAAGCTTTCGCTGCATGCTTTGAATATTAGTTACATTCAAATGCTTTAATTTAAATGAATCTGAGAAAGTTAATGTATATGACTTTCCTGTTTGCTATATTGTTAAAAGACAATCCTGCTTTTTAAGAGAATAAATCATTTTGATGAAGCTTTCTGTATTGGAGCAAGGCCATAGAGTTCTCTGATTCCACTTCATGAATCATTTCTCTACTAAACCAGCTCATAAATCCTTGCACCCACTCTTTTCATTCAGCCTTGGAAATCAATTAATTAATTGTTACATTCTTCAAATGTGCTAGATTAGTCATCAGCAGCACATTGTGCAGCTGTAATAAATATCAAGTTGGGGTTACTCAAAGTGTATGCTTTCATGAATAGCCATATTGCAGTCATGGTACTTGCCAACAAAACTATGAGATGGAACTGAGTAAAAACAGGCTGAAAACAACTTCAAGTCAGGTTAAAATGTACTTGTAGCAAAATGTTTCAGAAACGCTGAAGCCTGAATGGAAAAAAAAGAAAAAAGATTTTATGATGAAAGCAGGTGCCGTTGAAACCAAACATTTAAACACACTTATCAACAAGAACTCTGTTAAGGGCATACATCTGTGAATAAAGCAGCAGCTTAAACTTACAACCCCTAACAACTTGGTGAGTATACCAATCAGGGCTCGATGTTAACCACTGCCCGATAGCCCGGGGCAAGTAGTCTTTTTTGTTGGGAGAGTACAAATTTCATTGCATATGCCCGCCGGGCAAGTGCAATGATCGCAAAAAAAAATTATTTATCACTCAAAATTACTTTAAAATTACAGACATTCGCTGAAAACAACTCACAAGCGTTGCCGCCTCCATTTTCGTTGTTTTGTACACATTCTCGCGTGATTTGAAAAAGCCGGGTGATTTTCCGCCAGATGGCGTGATTTTTGTCCACCTAGTGGTAATTTTGATGTAGTTACCAAAACGACAAACAAGCTAGAAAGCGCTATCATATGGCAGTCTTCTTTAGAGTGATGCAGGTCATACATTAAAAAATGTTCATTAAATGTTTTTGCAAGCACACAACAGTTTAAAGCAAAGTTTAGTTTGAAAAGAATGTGCAGGAAGGATTGAAAAGCATGTTAACACGGTTATGTAGGCTTGAGTTCATTATCTGACGCATGCATATACACACCAGGAACCTGTAAACTTAAAAAATACAAAAAAAATTTTTTAAAAACAAACATGTTTCATTGATTATATATATATATATATATATATATATATATATATACAAAAATGAATATTAGGAACTATATTTATCAAACATTATACCGGGCTAGTAAAAATTGTTTCTGGGCAAATGAAATGTGAAAGTCACTTGCCCCAAGGGCAAGTGGTAAAAATCCTTAACGTCAACCCCTGCCAATATTATGGATTAATAACTAAAAAGAATTTATCAGGGAAGCCATTATGCAAATGTACATTTCTTGGGAAAGCACGCTCACTTACGCACAGGTGGGCTGCATCGGGTCTTTTGCAATTATTTGAATGAAATTTAGAATGTGTGTTTGAACTGATGTGGTGCATTCAGAAAAGCCAATGGTAGTATACAATGTGAGAGAAACTTCAGACAGGAATGAGAAAAGGTTGTTGCATAAATCTTTCCCCAGTTTACCACTGGGCGGATCCCCTTGGTAATCTGATCAACTACTGCCTAATGCTTGTTTGCTCAGCATGTTTTAATTCCTTCGGCCTCCCTCCACTCCGACTTACAGACATGCAATGTAATCTTCCCTCCAACACTGTATTGGACACTCTCACCCACAATGATGAATGTTCAATACCATTATGTAAGACTAGACCGTTATGGTGGCACTAAAGAAACCACAAGTTCAAACGTTTTCTGTTTTTTTAAGATAAAGAAACGATTAATCCAAACACAAACATCCAGTCCTAAACACATTTGTTCCTCCACCTCAACAATCAACACCCAAGTGGAAAAGGGTTATAAAGTTTGCTGTTGGCTTTGCGTGACTCATGATGGACACGAAAATTTTTTCAGATCGGTTTCCCAGTCCAAGATGTCATCATTCAAAGCAATATTTAAGCGTTGACCAGGATTTTCCAGTCTTCATATGCGTTATTGATTTATTAAGGTTTTTGAAATGGAATCACAAACAGAACGGATACAGAACATTTATCATTTAGACTGAGGCTGAGATGATTAATCTGGTTTCATGTCTGTCGTTCACCAAATGAAATTCACAGGGATACGAATGCAATTATGGCTAGAAATGCCTTTCAGATACAGTTCGTGAAGTACATTGGATTTTTTACAAATCAAACACTATTTTAAGAAATGTTGGGCAACCCACTCGGAAAAGAAAACATCTCTTCAAGAATGTCAGTTATCAACTTGAAAAATTTGGGGGGTTTTTTTCAACAAGAATGTTAAGTCCTAACCGAGCATGCAAGGCTTGTACTCAGGCCTATCTGATATTAAAACCCACACTTATTAACAAACTCCTCTCTGTTTGCGAAATGTCCAACTGCCTTCCACAAAAAATAACGGTGTGTTTAATGCAGATATTCATGACTTTTGTAAGGTGTCTGGTTTGCCCAACTTGTCTGACATAGCTGAGAGTTCTGTAAAAATTATTCTAACTTCACTTCAAGGTCTTTCTTTTGGTCAAAGAGAAGATGATAAACCTGATGGCTTTTTAAAAACCTCTGCCTTTCAACTTGCAGATATTTTCAGCTTTATATTCCCGATCTCCAAAGCTTTATTGGCTTAAATGTCTCTTGTTATAAAGGTATTTAATAAAATGCCAAAGGGGATTTTTCTTCTCGAAATGATGCAGGATAAACTGGACTTTTTATGGTTTGCTTACAGATCATAGAGATGTGTGGAGGATGCATGAGGAACACTTTATATTTGGTTTTTAAACATCTTGAGGGAGCTAAGACCCTGGTCAGAGTGTGCTTTATTGCATTTTCTTTGACTTTTAATTGCATCAAACCTCATGTTTTCGCACATAAACTAAATAATATTTTAAACATTGTAATGTTTTTCTTTTGCT